TTAAAACAATTCCTATACAGTATTTATTATTAAGCAGTCTACTTGAAATGGAAGATGAAATAATGTTCACTTTGGAGATTCAAGATAAATAATAACTTACAGAGAAATCAGCCTCCTGACTTTTAATATTAGAAATAAAGACAACTTATATTAAAATATGAAATAAAAGTAAATGGTAAAAATTTTTAAAATGTAGTTTTTAGCAAAAAGAAAGGAGAGGGTGGAACTTCCAACGGAAATATTTAATAAATATTATAATGGGTTGCTAATAGTATTAACATTAGGAAACGAGTAATAATTGATGAAATAAGAATGTTTAAAAAAAAAGAATGTTTATATTGGTAGTTATATCCTCAATTATTTAAATTTTTCCACTGTAAGTCTAAGAACTTGTGATTGAGTATACAGAAGAGCACCAAGTATGTGCCATTTATAAAAGCAAAGCAAGACATCAAATGAGATTTCTGAAGTTACAGTCTCATTTCCAGGCTTGTGCAGCACACTCATCTTTTTTCAACTGTTCAATAAAAAAAAATCAAGGAAATTGTTACAACTACAGATCAGAAACAAGTGCTAGTAGTCATTCTATATTTGCCTTACTCTAAAAACAATGCTGTGTCCCAAATGAAATCAGTATTCTCCTTCTACCTCTGTACATCAAACCAGACATCTACTATTAGATAAAGTATTTACCAAAACATACTTTAATTGCTTTTTTAACTGTCAAAATCAACACCAAAGTTAGGAGGGATACAACTTTCATCAACCTGAAAGCTGTGGTTCATAGAATTATAATTTAAGCTCCTATGACTTCAGATTTTCCTTGGGGGGAAAAAAAGAACTGATAAGTTTCCTGCTCCTGACTCAGAAGGATCCTGAAAAATTAAAAAACAATGAAATTAAATAGCCACTGAAATGTCAACAGTCTTAACATTACCTAGTATGAAACAGATGTGTAGGTGTATCAACCTGTTAAGCACACTGACATTGTGCCTACTGCACGGTGCTGTACAGGCCATCCAGCCTTATGGTACTTGCCATTCACTCCGTCCTCTACTAAGGAAGGAAACTAGATGTCTTTAAAGAAAAAAAAAAAAATCAGCCTATATTCTGGACTGTAGATAGATATATGACCCAAAAGCAGGTCACAGTGACAGTCCAAATATGATGATATTTAACCAATCTAACCTGCCCACTCCTTCCCCGGAGGTCTTTTTGGTATCTGGCAGCATATATCCTCTGTGGGTTATATGAGTCACCACCCTTATGGCAGAAAGCGAAGAACTAAGAGCCTCTTGATGAAAGTGAAAGAGGAGAGTGAAAAAGCTGGTTTAAAACTCAACATTCAGAGAAAACCAAGTTCATGGCATCTGGTTCCATCACTTCATGGCAAATAGATGGGGAAACAATGGAAACAGGGACAGACTTTATTTTCTGGGGCTCCAAAATCACTGCAGATGGTGACTGCAGCCATGAAATTAAAAGATGCTTGCTCCTTAGAAGAAAAGCTATGACCAACCTAGACAGCATATTAAAAAGCAGAGACATTACTTTGCTGACAAAGATCCGTCTAGTCAAAGCTATGGTTTTGCCAGTAGTCATGTATGGATGTGAGAGTTGGATTATAAAGAAAGCTGAGGGCCAAAGAATTGCTGCTTTTGAACTGTGGCATTGGAGAAGACTCTTGAGAGTCCCTTGAATTGCAAGGAGATCCAACCAGTCCATCCTAAAGGAAATCAGTCCTGAATATTCACTGGGAGAACTAATGCTGAAGCTGAAACTCCAATACTTTGGCCACCTGATGGGAAGAACCGACTCACTGGAAAAGACCCTGATGCTGGGAAAGATTGAAGGCGGAGAAGGGATTGACAGAGGATGAGATGGTTGGATGGCATCACCGACTCAATGAACATGAGTTTGAGCAGGCTCCAGGAGCTGGTGATGGACAGGGAAGCCTGGCATGCTGCAGTCCATGGGGTCACAGAGAGACATGACTGAGCAGCTGAACTGACTGGTGACTCTTGATTGTTGCATGAGGGCCAGGTGAGGTCTCCTCACTGGACCAGACTGAAGCAACCATTCAAACTTGGTCTATAGGGTACACTCTGGCTAGTGTGTACTTCTGTTACTGTCTACCCAGATTATTAGATGGAATTTCTTTTCAACTGACAGAGAAGATAAAGTTATTTCATAGTCTGACTTCAAGATCTCTAGATTCTAACTCTATGCTATAATCTCAGCTGCAGGAGCCCTGGTCTATCTCCCCTTGCCAAAGATCTCCTATGTGGATGCCTATAACACTGATCAGTTCTGGAAACAGAAATGAACAGAAAATAGAAGCGATCCCACATGTCTTGGGAAGACAAGTGTTCCCAAAACAAAAGTTATCCTAAAGTATGGTGTTGCTCATAACAGAGTTCCTAGATGTCCACAGGTCTGCAGCAGGGGTTGGCAAACTGCAGGCTAAATCCAACCAACTGACTGTTTCTGTAAATAAAGTTTGATTGGAATGCAGCCATGCCCATTTTTTTATGTATTATTTATGGCTGCTTTCTGGCTACAGCATCAGTTTGAGCAGTTATAGAAGAGAGTATGTAGACTATAAAGCTGCAAGTGTTTATTATCTCTTTTAGAAAAAGTTAGCCAAGCCCTGATCTACATCACGTTGGTATAACCCCTTGGAAATGAAGGACAGCTTGTTGCCCCAAGCATCTTCTAACACTTTACAGATGACACATATCCTGTGTTTGGGTGTCCTACATTTACCCTCTAACTGGGCAAACCAAAAAGCTGCCAGTTGTGAGCAAAACCTGGAGCAGCTTTCTAAGTGGGACAGGTGACAGAAGCACAGCTCAGCTGCTCAGGCGAGCCTGTGACCCGAGGGCATTGAGTTGCTGCTTATAACTTGAGGCACGTCCCAAGATGATCACAGAGTACACCCCTGGGATTCTAGAGCAGGGCCAACCTACTTTAGGCAGGTACCATTTTCTCAGTAAATAGCTCCTGGCTGGCCACTAGGGTCTGACAGATGGCAAGTGTCTGACACCAAGGGAAACCAGGTGAGCATACTGTTAACCCATTTTGAATAGTATTACCTGAGCTACCACATCACCAATAGCATGGTTTCAATCCATGATCTAGTATTTAGACACAGGACATCCAAATGGGATAATCACAACCCTTCCTCAGTAGGCCTTCTCCCTCACCCAGGGTTATGTCTTCTTGGAGGCGGTCTCTACACATCAACTGACAAATTGGAGAGACCTGAGCTTGGCTCATCTGTGATAGTACTAGCCAAAGTACGAGCTTAAGCATTACAGGCCCTTCAGAAACGGTACTGAGGGATGATACAGAAAAGACATATCCTGATACGGCAGATTCTCAAGCAGTTCCTTCAATTGTTGATTATGTCATTCAGTAGAGGAAGCCTCAGGTCAGTTTTTTATCAACTGTCAGACAGTGACTAATAGTTTACCCAGATGGTTATAGACCTGAAATAAGCAAGAATGAAAAAATGCTGACAAGGGGATTTGAGGAAGGATAAAGTAGAAGCCCACATGAATTCTTACTGGAGTGCCCACAGCTGCAGTGAAGTCTTAGTAATCATGTGGATAGGACTGTGTCTGCATCTTTCCTCCCCAGCGTGATGCTTGCTCAATGGGCTTATGAGTGGCTACAGTGCAGTGATAGATGCATGCAGTATCTACATAAGTCAGTGGCTACAGAAGTTAATGAACCTTTATGAGAATGGATACATGTATATGTATGGCTGAGTCCCTTTGCTGTTCACCTTAAAATGTCACAACATTGTTAATCGGCTATACTCCAATATAAAAGTTAAAAAAAGAAAACAGCCAAAAAAAACCAGCTAATGGCCCTTCCTTACCTGAGGCCTACGTGGCTATCCACTACTGGCTAGCACCCACTTTGTGGGCAATACTGACCGATTTTAAGAACCTGATTTGTTATCATACCTTGAGGGAACTAGTTAGTTACCTGATGCACTGGAACGTCCCATTATTGAAGGGACAAAGCTCCGTCCTCATTGGAATTGATATTTATTCTGGATTTGGACTGGCCCATGCTGTCTTTTGCACTCTTGACAATACTACCATATGTGTATCACCACTATCGTATTATATAGAAAGCCTCCAAGGACCCACTTCTCAGAGAAAGTAGTATCAGAAGTATCCTGATGTAAAAAGGATGCTCTGGACTCATCAGGTATCTATCATCAACAAAAAATGGGCCTATAAGATGATGAAAGAGATCGTTAAGTGCTGAGACTCAACATCAGCTATGGGTACCATCTTGCAAGATCAGGTGCTATCTTTTTAGGATTATGGTGTGTGTTCTGCTTAGCCAATATATGTAGCAATAGAAAACATAGTATTATCTCTTCAACAGCCAAAAGTCACAGGTCTAAGAAACGATAGAAATACGAATGGACTTTCTCATAATCCATTTTTAAAAATTGTGTTCCTAGACCTATGACTCAAACTCTGCTGCCCAACTGGCATAATGTAAAGCACATTAAAATTGGTAATAATATCTAGATGGTTGGACTAAAGATAATTTTATCTTTTTCCTCATGATGGTCTAGATTTTTCATATTTTCTAGAAAGACTGTATTCTTTTATATTCAAACAGAATTACTAAAGGGGAAAAAAAACCCCATAGCTCCAGATTTTCATTGAAAGTGGCACATAAGTAAAGAAAGGAGTTGAGATGAATGTGAGGAGTTCCTAACAAATCAGAAAAACTGCTTTCCCTTTTCTTTGATAATGGTTACTATGTAGCACTCTAGAGCAGTCACAGAGACATTTGAAATATGACTCAGCCTCAGTTTCCTTATTTGTAAAACGAGATCTAACTGTGTATCTCATAAGGTCTATGAAAGAACACCATAAACTATAACATCTCTGAGTCATTACTATTGGTGGTAGGTGCCAGTCTATCTGCTCAGTGCTTTTACAAACAAAAACAAGGATAAAAGTTACCTTTGGGTTAAAATATCTACAAGACTGTGGTTGGGAGCCTCCAAACAGGGCTATGCGGTAGTCATGTTTCTTCCTTCTGGGCCTTGTGCCTTCTACCAGTTCTTCTCGATCCTCTGGAGAAAGGAGATGATATCTCATCCCACCTGGAGAAAAATACATGCCAACTCTTCAAGAACTTCAGGCACTTTAATACTTACTTTGAAAAGGAAACACCCAAATAAAGCAGTGCTCTTATTTCTGTAACCATTTTTTTCTTCTATCATCTAACATTTATGGAAAGAGTGAGCAGGAATGAGGCAGGAGAAATGTATAATAATCTGAGTGCTAATCAATTTATTATTCTCCGTCATCACCATTAATGCTAAGATTGTCCTACCCACTTAAGAAATATCAGTGAATCATCTGGCTTTTCAAGCAACAGCAGCCATAGTATTAATTATTGAAATTCATATCTCCTAACCCAGCAGTTCTCAATCTTCACTGTACATTAGAGTCACCTAGAAAAATCTCAGAAACTATCGCTGGGCCTATGTCAGCACAGTTAAATCAAAACCTCTGGTGGAAGGGTGGAGCCACTGGTATTGCCCCTTATATGTGGTTAAAAGATCAGCAACTTCATTACCTGGGAACTTGTTAGAAATACTGAATCCCAGAGCTACTGAGTTAGAATCTGCATATTTAACAAAATGCGGAAGTAACTCAGATGCACATAAAACTTGGAGAAGTGCTTACTGCTTAGATGACCCTAAAATGCAATGAGGATTCGCAACTACTGTGATCTAAAATCTTTCTTTCAGCAATTACTTAGTTTTGTCAAGTCAAGGGACACTCAATGATTAAAAACTTAAGATGTCATTTCAAATCAGTGTGGGAAAAGTCGATTATTCAATAAATGATGATAGACAGTGATATGAAGAAAATACCCAACTTCATATTTTACTCTAAAGCAAATTCCAAATCAACAGAATATTGTAAAATGTTTTTTTTTTTTTTTAACAAAAAAGCCTTATAAATGAACTAAAAGAAAAATAGGAAAAGTTTAAAAAAATAGGCTCAGAATGAGGAAGCCTGAAAGTGAAAGTGAAGCCTCTCAGTTGCGTCCGATTCTTTGTGACCCCACAGACTGTAACCTACGAGGCTCTTCCGTCCATGGGATTTCCCAGGCAAGAGTACTGGAATGGGTTGCCATTTCCTTCTCCAGGGGATCTTCCCAACCCAGGATTGAACCCAGGTCTCCCTCATTGCAGGCAGACGCTTTACCGTCTGAGCTACCAAGGAAGCCTAAGAAAAGACAAATAACACAGGAGCTAAAAAAAAAAAAAAAAATTCAGAACTACAAAATTTTAAGTTAAATTATTTCATGGCAAAAAGAAAAAACAGAAAAATTAAAAGACAATGACAGGATTTTCCTGGTGGTCCAGTGGCTAAGACTGCACTCCCAATGCAGAGGGACCAGGTTCGATTCCTCATTTGCGAACTAGATCCCACATGCAGCAACTAAGACCCAGTACAGTCAAAAAAATAAGTAAATGTTAAAAGAAAAAGACAATGACAAACTAGAAAAGAATTTATAAATTATATAAAAGACATATAAAAGATACTCAATAACATTATAATGATCAAATGACAGAAAATTAGATCATGTATCTGAACAAAGTTCATAGAAAAAGAATTACAAATAACTCTGCAACATATGAAAAGATGCTCATGTGCTCTAGTCAGAGAAATACAAATTAAAATCAAACGTTCTCATACATCAGACTGCACAAGATCAAACTATCTGGAACACAGGGTATGATAAAGGAAGCAGCAGTCTCCTACACTGCTGGTGGGAATGTGGATGAGTGCAAATTATCTGTGAAATTATTATTTCACATATCTTAGCCAGCTATTTCCCCCTTTAGGATTTTATCAACCTAAAGTTCATTGTCAGGGAAGTGGTTAAAAATTATGATTATCCACACACTGGAATACTAAATATGGTTATTGAGATGAACAAGGAAGGGTAATATGTACACATAGGATGAATTCCAAGAAATAATGTGGAATGGAAAAAAGCAAGATGGGAAAATTCCCTGGTTGGGGAACCAAGATCCCACAAGCTGATGTGAAGGCAGGCAAGGGAGAAAGACATAGAAGAGTACACAGAGTGTGACATTATTTATTCTAAAAATTTATATCTTTATTTATATATATTATACATAATTTATATAAGCATGTCAATAAATTACTGTGTGTGCACAGATTCGACTACTTTTAGAAGGATATACAAGATAATAATGGTTACCTCCAGTGAGACTTTTTACTATCTACCCTGAACTGTGTATGATGTATAGTATTACTGCTTCAAAAATAAAATAAGGTAAGCAATCTTCAATACATGCAGAAACACTTCTGTTCATGATGCTGTGTTGGGCTTTTATAAGAGGAATACAGAGAGAAAACAGTTTTGGATAACAGGTTGTGAATCAGTATCAATATTTCTAGCATTTCTTTCTCCTTTAGAGCATCAGTAGCAGCAATGTGCATTACAACACCTGGCACACTCAGATGCCCACCCTCAGTCAGGGGTCAGCAAACCTTCTCCAGAGGACCAGACAGCAAATATTCTGGGCTCTGTAAGTCACATTTGGTTTCTGTCATATATTCTTGATTTGTTTTTTTCACAATCCTTTACAACTGTAAAAAAACACTTTTCTTCATGCCCTCCTCTCCCACTCTAGATGTAAGACTGTAGTTCTCAAAAGTGTAGTTCCCTGACCAGCAGCATCACTTGGAAACTTATTAGAAATCCAAATTATTGAACACTACCCCAGAAGAGAGCTTGTGGGGTTTGAGAGCCACTGCTCTAGGAGGGCTCCACACAGGGCGGATGTGTCCTGTGGAATCTATGAACACAATTCTCCCAACAAGAGAACACAGGCAGTGGGGAAGGAGAGATACAGGAGGGGATGGTTCCAGGCAACAGGCCACGGCTGCAAGTAGCTGACTGTGGCCAACTGTGTCCACCCCTGGAGGAAGCACAAACTGTGGCTGCTTCACTGATGGGCTGTTTCTCTCCCAGGACAGGGCTGAGGACAAGCTCTCTGGGACCTTTCCCTGAGAAGCACCTTAGGCTTATAACTCTGGGAGTTAATCCTCTGAGAGGCAGGTACTGTCATTTGAAGATTCTGAGTAAGAACTTGGTCTGACCCTTTGTGGTGGCTTTGACTGTGATCTTCATTTTAGGACTCATTTTCTTTTAGTTGTAGATTCTCTCAGTTTAGTTTTATTCTGTATTCCTATCATCTTTTCTGTTTTTCTTCTACTCTCAGAAGGCAGCCTCTAGGTCACATGGTAGGGAGGTAACTGACAGTCTGAGGGAGGGAGGCCTTTTCTCCACTGAGCTTTATTCAGGCTTCAAAGCTGCTGGTGCCTAGTCAAGGAGTTGTAGAACTGTTCTTCATTAGAACAGGACAAAACAAAGAAAAAAAGAAAATGTAACAAAGATTCCTGCTCAAGAGCCCAACCCCACACTTGGCTGGATTTCTGGAATAATCCCGATACTCTGTGTCTGAGTCAATTCAGAATCCACATAAGAACTAAACACTATACTTCATTTAGACTGGCTAATTTACCTTCAACAGCTTACTCCATGTGTGAATAAACAGATGCAGGTCTCCACCCAGTGAAACCAAAAATATGACAGTATGCAAATAAAGATATAACAAAAAATCCAATATTAACACGTACAAAATCCACATAATGAAAGCACTAATATAAAGGTGTCTTCTTGGTCTTGATTTTCTTTCACCTCCCTGTACTTAAAGAAACTAATACCTATAATTTACCTATAATCTACCTCTTTAAACTCCCTACACCTTGGTTTTAAAGACAGCAGCCTGGGTGAACTCTCCTCTTCCAGCTCTTTTCCCATCACCCCTTCAGGGATGTGTTCTTGATTCATACCCCCTCCCACCTCGACACCTTAACTGGAGCCAAAAGGTGTTATACCATGCACTGTTTTATGCTATTGCCACTCATGAAAAATGTTTATTATTATTATATTCATCTAAGATATTTTTAGTAAATATAGAGCATTCCACTGTATGGATAGATCATAATACTTTCCCAAACTAGGGGACAGTATTGGGTCAACTTACCCCAAAACCATAATATTATTAACTAGTAGCCATGTGGTAAGTCTTAGCAGAAATTTTACTTTACTTCCAAATCAAGGGAAAGTGATACTATTTAATAATTGGATGAGTGCCTAAAGCCTGTGCTCTGCAATGAGATGCAACCACAATGAGCAGCCCATGTGTTGCAACTAGAGTAGTCCTCACTCATCACACCCGCAGAAAGCCTGCACACAGCAATGAAGACACAGCGCAGCCAAAAATAAAAGAAACAGGTGAAAGAAGAAACAGTGAACTGGAAGACAGATTTGAAGAAATCACCCCAAGTGCAACGAAAAGCTTAGATATTATGGAGTGGAGAACTGACAACATCTTTTTAATTAAAATTCCTGAGGAAGTTGACACTATTGGAAGAGAAAATGGCTGAGGATTTTCCAAACCTGATGAAAAACATGGATTCCTCAGACTAGGGAAAATGAACAAACACTGAGCAGGATAAACACAAACAAATGCCCAACCATATTTGATGCTAAACATCAAAACCAAGAGAAACCCTTTTAAAAAGACACAGGCAAAAATTCACACTATCTACAAAGAATGACAACTGCACTGACAGGAGACATCAATAGTAACGATGGAGGTGGGGTGAAGTATCTTCAAAGTATTGAGAGAAAATATATTCAACCTAGAATTATATGCCCAGTTCAGCTTTAAGAATAGAGTAAAAGAAAAAATATATATTTTTATATAACCAACAACTGAAACAATTTAAAAGCAGACTGTAAATGTATGAACTTTATAAAGGATGCTCTTCAGGAATATGGGGAGAAGATCTAAGATACAAGAAGAAATGGTGTGCAAAGAGATTGACAAATATGGATAAATTTAAACACTATTAAAAAAATTAAGTCCCATTTGAAAAGTTAAAAAAAAACACTAAAATACAGAACAAAAAACATTTAGTGTTTGCATTATTCTTCTTTATAGCTTTAGGTACAGCTTAAATACACATACTAAATTTTAAAATAGCACTATAGCAATATTTGTCAAAATCCTCAAACTCTCAGAAAAAAAGAAGTAACTTTTATCAGTATCCACTAAAAATAAGTTTAAAATTCAGGAAAACAAAATTAATTTCTTAATTATAAACATCTCCTACCTATTCCACTCATATCCACCTACATACCCCAACACATGTACCCAACTAATGTCAAAAGCCAGGTCCATGGCTCTAGGTGAGAACTAAAGGTGTTCCCATCAGAGTAAGGGAAAGACAAGGCCAGCATTTATCACCACCATAGTTACTTGAACACTGTTCAATTAAAAATTTATTCAATGTAATTATGCAATATAACAAAAGAAAAAAATATAAATACTAAGGGCAGAAACTAAAATCATTATTTGCAGATCATGAATTATTTCCCTAGAAAAAAGAAATTCACTGAAATTTTTTTTAAAAAGATCAATAATGACTAAAGAAAAAAATACAATCACAATAGTAACAACAAAAATATCTGAAAAATTTTTTAAAGAAATATAGAATGTAAAAAAAGAAAATTACAAGTTCTTTAGGGACACATGACAATTTAAATGAAGTACAACAATAATTAAGGGCCTCCCCGGTGGCTCAGATGGTAAAGAATCTGCCTGCAATGCAAAGATGAATCATTCAACAGTAATACTGGGTTAGAATCTTGCCAAACATTTAGGAGGGAAAATAAAGCTAGGTTCTTAATTATTCTGGGTGGCAGGAGATTATTTCATATGAAATCAATCTCAGTTGCATATAAGGTTTAGAAATTAAAAAAAAAAAAACCACAAATGCACAAAAAGGAAAATTTAGGAAATTTAAAAAAAAAAATCATCTTGGACCAAGAAAGACCCTTCTAAACATTTCTAAACATGGATATAAAGGAAAAGATTGATTAAGATTTATCAATACAAAAACAACTTGAGATTAGACTTGCCATTTCAAGACATTTTTCTTCCTCTCTCTTGAAAGCCACTCTCCAAAAACAAGGAAAGAAGAAGCAAACAAACTACCTCTGATAATGCCAGAAGATCTGCAACTCCCATAACAGTTAATGAAGACAGCTAGCAGACAGAATGCTAAACCTGAATAGTTATGGCAAGAGACACCAATGAGAAACAAGTCAAACGATCCTGCAGAACCCTGGAATGATACAGAGTACCCCAAAAGAGGTGGGTATGAGAGAGTGGGGATGAAATCAAGAGAACTCTAAAATTCTAAAATAAATGACCGCTGAATTGCCAGGTCTCCTTTCCCTACTGCAGTCAGATACCTATGCTTTTCCCACTACAGGAGACAGAAGGGTTGGTCTTCAGAGATTCTGAATCAGAGATGTCCAGATTCAGAAAATCACATAGAAAAGGGTGTGAAACTGAAAACAGGGATTAAGTGAAAGCCTTCAAGTCAAAAAGTTCCCCCATTCAGTTCCCAAATGCCTCTAACCCAACTACCTTAGAAAACAACTACAGATAATGACCTCTGAAGTTGCTCAGTCGTGTCCAACTCTTTGTGACCCCATGGACTGTAGCCTACCAGGCTCCTCCGTCCATGGGATTTTCCAGGCAAAGGTACTGGAGTGGGTTGCCATTTCCTTCTCCAGAGGGCCTTCCTGACCCAGGGATCGAACCCAGGTCTCCCGTACTGTAGGCAGATGCTTTACCGTCTGAGCCACCAGGGAAAGATTAATGACCTCTGGGGGTCCCCAATTTAAAAACTGTCTGGCTATCTTGATTATCCTACAGTTTAGCCCAATAAATGAGAAGACTAATATATGGTATCAATTTTATAATAAAACATTCTTATGGTTCACAGATGATATGAAATATTTGTTTTCAATAACAAAAAGAGAAAAAACAAAACCAAACCAAAGGCAATACAGAAAAAAAAAAAAAAGAAGGCAATACAGGAAATGCAGGCAAGATAAGAAAACATTAAAGGCATTATAATGCTACTTTGGAATAAGATATTATAGCCATGAAATAAGAGAATAAAACTCACAGAAATAAAAAATAACTGAAATAAAAGTGCTAAAAGAAAAATTAAGGCTATTTCTAAGAAAATAGCAAAGACAAAGATGGATAGGAGAGACAAGAAAAGATTACAGACTCAATCCCTAAAAAATCATAATATCAGCAATAAAGAACTGAGAAATCTGCGCTGAATAGATAGAGAATGCCAGTGTGATAACTAAAAGATGAAAACCAAGGTACATTACTGTGAACCTTCAAAACAGCAGGGATTAAAAGAAAATAAAGGGTTACATGTTTACAAGAAGGCGTACTAAATAAACCGGGCATCAGATTTCTCAAAAGTAATACTGGAAGCTAGTAAACAATGGAAAATTCCTTCAAAATTCTAACTAGAAATCATTTTTCAACATAACTCTATAGCCAGTTTAACTATCCTTCAACATTTTATGATAAAATAAAGATGTGATTTGTCAAATTTCCAAATATTTACTGATCATATACTCTTTCTCAGGAAGCTTTTAAGGATATGTTCAATCAAACAGAATTTAGGAAGGGGAAGACCTGGGTTTGAGGAAAATAGTGAATCTAACTTAGGAAAGGAGTGAAAGAACATCCCAGGATGGCAGAGAAGTCCCAGGACAAGAACTGTGCCTTAAGCTTACACCTACAGTGCAAACGCTTCATACTGGAACAGGCAGAAAGAAGGCTCTATGAACAGTGTTGCCAAAGAAAGAAAAGCAACAGATTGTTTAATAGTACAATCTTATTAACTGGCATTTTACAGAGGGGTTGGAACTCAAGTCTAAAAGTCAAGAAAAATTAAGTGAATCAAAAAAGAATGTGGCAAAAAATGTGCTCCAGGTAAAACAAACCAACATTTTTCTTCAAAAAAGAAAATGTGATCACAGTACACTACTTGGCTCAATTATTTTAAAAAGGAAATAAAACACACAAAATGAAAATTGCTGTACATGAAAGGAAACAAAGTCTAATTTTTTACCTTCTATCACAGGTGTTCCTATAGAATAAAGGATGAGGCTAAGTTCCTTCCAGATAGACAGCTGAAAATCTCAATAGATTAACTATACAGAAGGGCTAAGTCTCAAGTGTTTCTCCGTGGCTGCCCCATCTGATTCAATCTGAAGGGTTTTAAGTCCATGAGAAACTGGCTACATGATCAGGTTATAAATGGCTATTAAGGAAACTTACTTATCACCATCTTAAGGCATTCGGGATTGTCTTGAATAAGTGGTTCAGCTTGTACTGTTTTACTTAAGAAATTCTTTGATATAAGAGGAAACCTGACTTTAGCAAGGATGTCAACCATAAAAGGCTGGCGATTAGGTTCATCATATTTCAACCACCTGACTGCGGCGTCATAAACCTAAGGGGAGAAAAACAGCATGGTAAAATTTTTAGATGGTAGCAGTACTTCCAATTACCTATGTTTACTCTCACAGTGAAGAGAAAGAATCTCATTAATACATAACTGCTTACCCCCAATATCTAATTCAGATACTTGTTTTCATCCCCAAATACCCATATCTTTACTTCAGAACAGTTTACACAATGCTCTAGTGATTCTTCTAGGTAATATGCTTTATAGAACTTATTACTACTGCATAATGTATAACGATAAAGATGATGTTGAATACAGATTTTTAAATTGCTTTCAAACAAAATGTAACTTCTGTTTTGCAAGGAGATATGATATACATTTCCCACTAAAAAAAAATCTATTGATCAATGCTAATTTCAATATTTGCTTATATGGTACCAGGAAAATGGGTTATTTCCTCAGTGGCCTTCTATCCCAAGAGATATGAAGGTCATCTAAGATTTTGTTACAATCTAATATTCCTGAATTATGAACTGATAGACCTATGTGCTTTCCACAAACTATATGATATAAAAATTCTATATATATAAAAGTAAATTAGAGTATTTATGTAAGAATTGCTTTCTAAAATAAAATAATTCATTTAACTGTACCAAAACAGTGCCAAGTTTATTAACATAATCTGATCTACAAATCACTAGTTTAAACACATAGAAAAAAATCTATTATTTCATATACCACACACTTTTAGGTCATATTAATAAGGCCTAAATTTAATTTCCCCATGGATCAATTTTTTATAGGAATTAGTCTTTTATTTTTAAATAAGTTCTTTATTAGGATAGTTTTTTATTTATAGAAAAGTTGGAAAGAGAGTTCCCATATACCTTGCACTTAGATGTTAACTGGTACATTAGTATAAAATTCTTATCATAACTAACAAATAAATGTTGATATATTAAGGTCCATACTTTAAAAAAAATCCTTTAGCTTGTCTAATTTTCTTTTTCTGTTCCTCAATTCCAAAGAAGATACATTACATTTAGTCATTATACCACCTTAGGCTCTTCTAGACTATGACAGATTCTCAGACCTTCCTTGTTTTTGATGATTTTTGACAGTTGTGAGTTCTAATCAGGAATTTTATAGACTGTCCCTCAATCTAGGTTATCTCATGATTAGACTGGGGCTATAGTTTTTTGGGGAGGAAGACAGAGACGACATGCCAGCCTCATATTAAGGGTATGTGCTATCAACATGGTATCACTGATTTCCATTATATAATACATTATCACAAACTTTTTGACTTAAATTACAGAGAAGGATGGGGAACTGAAAATAGAGATTAATTAAATGTCTGCATATTAAAGTGTTACCCGATCTAGCTCCCAACACCTGCACCCAGCTTACACCTCTGACAGTTTATCTGACAGTTCTGGAGATCACAGTCCAAAGTGGGTCACACCCTGGGCAAAAATCAAGGTGTCATCAAGGCTGCCTGAAGGCCTAGAGGAGAAACCGTTTTCTTGACTTTTCTAACATCCAGCAGCCATCTGTTGTCTTGGTTTGTGGTCCCTCCTCCATCTTCAAAGCTAGCAATGGCCGGCCAACTCTACCTCACATCACATCACTGACACTGCCTCTTCTGTATCCCTCTTCCATATTTAAGGATGCTTTTGATTACACTGGACCCACCCAATAATCTCCTCCTCTCAAGATCCTTAACCAAATCTGCAGTCTCAACTGCCATGTAAGGTGACATATTCACAGGTTCCAGGGATTAGGATGTGGGCAACATTGGGGGGAAGCACTGTTCTGTCTACCCAGTAGCATCTCTACAAGCAGTCTCTCAAATCGCCAGCCCCTGGGAGCATCCAAAACTTATTTTTCCTATGAAACAGAATTTGGAATACCCTATTCAGTGTAAATACCATCTCTCCTAATATGATTCTTTTCTTCGTCATGTATCCAAAAATGAAGTGTAAGAAATCCATAGGAACATTTTTACTAAGAATAATGTGGGAAGGCAATTTAGTTACCTGATCCTCTGCTCTCACAGTCAGAGTGTCCTGGTTGAGGAGATGTGTAACTCGCTTGACATCAAGTTGTAGAAATTCATCAGTTTTATAAACTTCAGTAAAATGCTGATGAATAAAGTCATCTGCAGTTGCTTTCAATTCAGGACAGTCTAGACACTCCGCTAGTACACTTATACCTGAAGATAGAAAGAAAATAAATGAACCAAAATACCTTAAAAAAAAAGTGAAGATACAGTAATTGACTCTAGGAAAATGAGATAATAAATTTCATGTCTTTTCCATTGATTTGTCTATTGTTATGCCAGAATGATACTACCTTATATGTAGCTGAATTTGGTACTTGGTAGGACAGACCATCTTCAATGTTTTTTCAAACTTTTCTTGGCTACAAGTAAAACATTTTCTCTTGCAAATAAATTTTAAAATAAGCTTATAATGTTCTACTTTTTAAAAATTCTAATATGACTTCAATTAGGGTTGCTAAATATTTGGATTACTTTAGGGACAGTTGACAGATCTCCACTTAAGATTTGTTTTAATTATCTTCAATGTAATTAATTAATGTTCTGTATCAGGAATCTGCAAAGTACTGTCATGAGCCAAATCACTCACCTCTAGCTGTAGGGTCAGCAGCTAAGAATATTTTTAAGGGTTGTGAAAAAAGGGAGCGTAGGGGAGAGAAAGAAGGAGGGGAATATACTAACCAATAACATGGCATGCTATGTACTCATGGTGAGCAGTCGGCTACATATGAATGTCTAGGCTCCCAGTAGGGAAATGATACTTTCACCAAAAACCAGTATTTATTAATTAATTAATTTTTGGCAGTTGAATTTGTGGTAATTATGTGACCAAATAAAATGTCATGTGGATCAATAAAATATGAATGTGAATAGTAGTTGTTTCTGTGAAGACTAATTCTAAGGTTTAAGACAGTCTTGAAATAGCTCAAATCAAGCATGACCAAGACAATTGATAAAATCTGAGAAAACTGCAAAATTCTAGAAGGATTCTGTCATCAGACTTCTTGCTGAGTTATCAATTTGTTTTAAGGAAATTAATAAAAAATCAGATGATATTTTTTTGGTGTGACTTATGTAAGACAGATTTTGGTAAAATCGGTATTTATAGAGTTGGGCTTAGCATCAAACAGTAGCAGATTGCTATATTTATATTACACTAAAATAAAACCTTTACATTACAATTGATAAAACCTTCTTTAACCACTTACTACATTAATGAAATTTAAATTAGCCAACTAACTACTATTCTGATTATGCCAGATAAGGAAACTCCTATTGTTACTGTATTTTTTCTTGACTGACTGCACGGATGGAAACCTTCAGCACAAAACTGAACACTAGCATATTTCCATGCAAAGAATATTTGCTATCGGTTTCAGACACATATAGGTTAACTATTTTATTTCTAGTTTAAGAGTTTTTGTAAATATAGGAATGAGTACTGAAATACAAAAGTGCCTTCAGCATCTTTTGCTATGGCTTTAAGTATTTTTATATAAGTACAGCATGTCAGCGTAGTAAATTATGTTTGTTTTTTTAACACTGAATCATTATGGCATTTCTAAAGTAAATCCTTGCACCTCTTCTTACACACAAAAAATCATTGCTGAGGTTATTTTTTATTTTGGAAAATGCTGATACAGTATTTTATGGCTTGTTTCTGCTGAGGTTAATAGGCATCTCCCTAACCTCCTCTTAAAATAAATTACTGGAAAATTTTTTAGTGAACATCCCAAGATTAAATAAGGAAAAAAGAAGATTAAATGAGGATACTTATAACCATGCCTTTTCTCTTTATTAAAATACAAATTACAGTTCTTTTTTTTAATAGGAATCTCATTTCTTACCAAGACAGTTTGAAGCATCAACTTGTTCTTTCAAAAAATCAACACACATTTTCTTCACAGGTTCAATCTGGTACTGGTTTGCTGCATCTAGCAAGGATTGAACATTGTTGCTATTCACAGAAATTCTGTAAATAAGGTGAAATGAATATTAATTTCCTACAATTTATTATTTAAATAATGCTGCTGTAAAATGTATCCTACTGACCTCTAAAATTGAACAAAAAATTAAGATTTTCAGCCTTTGAACTAGAACAGCATAAGCTCCTCAAACCCCACCCCTACCACCCTTATAGTTTTTCATTTTGAAGAATGTGGAGCATACCAATTTGTTATAATAATACTTTGCATGGCAGATCCTGACCTTACTTCCCCACAGCAGAAATGATCCTTAACTTACCTAGCTGTATAAGCAAATTCCACAAGTTGTTCAATAATGTCAGGTTCAGCATCTTTGAGTTCCACTTCAAAGGACTTTGATTCAATCATGTTAGCTAATACAAAGAGAAGAAACATAAATGGCATGAGTACTTCCATGAGTCTAACTGAAGAACCAGATCATTCTAGGCTGTGTTAAATGTTAGAGAAAAATAGCATGACAGACACCTCTCTGAAAAAAAATACCCTAGGAAGCCCACCCAGCACTCCCCTATAATAAATGCAAATCAATTCTCCATACTTGAGATGTGCCTTAAAATAATATATGACTCAATTAGTGTACTTAAAAAAAAAAAAGGCCAAGTAAACAGAAAGAGATAAATCTCCATTTAGTATTTCCCCAACTCCTAAATTAATTTGGTAGCATTCTCTTAAATTGCTATGGGCAAAATGCCTCTGATACAGCTGGAACAGACCTATAAAAACAATGACAATTAAATATACACAGTCAGCTTTCAACAGCAAGGCTCTCATTCTTCCCCAAAACCCTGGTAGGTAGCCAGGGCATTAAAGAGAAAACTTGAGGCTGATATATTATATAACTTGATCAAGCTCATAAGCAGTACTAAGTAGAAGAACCAGGACTCGGACCCAATTCCAAAATATGGTTTTTTCTAGTATGTTATATTTCATTTAACTTGCTAGATAAAATGCCGTAAGACTTATCTGCTCCTTTGTCTTTTAATCTGAGATTAAGAAAAACAGCCAGTATTCAACTAGAAGCTGTATATTCATTAAAAAACACTTAGGGCCCTTTAGGGCTAACAAAAGGACAGTTCTCCTTCGAGCAATCATCACCATGACCTCTTTTCAATCTCTTCACTGTTCTATGGTCTTAAATGCTTTTAAAACTGGCATGTTAAATATGAAAATGGCATATTTTCATTTAGACCTCACCTAAATCTTACAGAAAAAATATTATGTTTTATCCTCAGATACTTACTTGTGAACATTAAGTTAAAAAAATGACTGGCTGCAGCAAGGACAACACGATGAGCAGGTATCTTCCTTTCCTGGACCATAAGGATCACATCACACAGTGTTTTCTAATCAAGAGAGAAATAAATACAATTAAAAAGGGCTCAGTGGGAATGGCTAGGCAAAGGAAAAAAACAGGTGCTGACCAAAATGCTTTATCTCTATTTTCCATTTAAATCCAATATTTTCCCAGCACAGATCTTGTTTATAATGTAAAATCTATTTACAAAAGACAGAGTTGCTGTCATGAGTTTGGTGTATCAAAATCTGGCACTAAAGCTCCCAACAGTCAGGATAAAAAAAAAATCTTTAAAATCAGAAAAAAAGTACTAACCTTTGGGGAAACCAGTTTTTTTTTTAATCTGACACTAATTCTAAGATGTTTATCATGGTGAGATTTTACGGGGACAGTAAATGACAATGTCCTTTTTCAAACAAAGACAGTATGGTTTTTCAAATAAAGCAATCTGCTTTTAAAAAAACTCTCCTTGGGACTTTCCTGGTGGTCCAGTGGCTAAGACTCTGTGCTCTCAATGCAGGAGGCCCAGGTTCGATCCCCAGTCAGGGAACTAGATCCCACATGCTGCAACTAAGACCCAGCACAGCCAAATAAATAAAAATACATATAAATAAAATATTAAAAAAAAAACTCTCCTTGATAAAAATGTAGAGTACACACTGCATTTTCCAAGAAAGTTGCCTTCATAAACCTAACTCGAAACTGGAACAACTCAGAACATAGAGTAGATGAACCCAGTGTCCATTTAGCACTCTTTCCTTAAATAACACTTCTCTAATATGCACTTCTGATAAGACCTGGATAGCAACCACTTTTAAATTGTGATATCTCACTGAGGACAAATGTGTCACTCTAGGTTACTGAAAGAAGACAAATCTACATTGTATTCTTAAAGTGTTAGAAAAATGGGGAACATTAAAGTTTAAGATTTACTTTACTTACTTAAAGATGAATTTCAAGAAAAAAGAAATGTCTTGTTTATCAAATAAAATTTCAATTTCTTAATGAAGTTAAAGATATAATGTATAGATTTGGCTCAGAAAAAAAAATGTAAAGCACTCTCTTAGGCACTGGGAATACGAGGCAAATAATATTTTCAGAGTTATAGTACTCACAAATCTAAATAATGGCCCAATAGCTCAGAAGATATGGCATTTTGCAAATTTAGGTATTTTACTAAAACTACTGATAAAGTTTCTGATAGATAAATCACTATTTCTTCCATTACTATTCCATGAATAAAATCCCAAATAAAATAGTTACACTTAGGATGAGAAAAAATGGGTCCCATTTTTTTAGAGCCCTAAAAGTGGGTTCTTAGCGAGCTAAGAAAGAAACACTTCATTCTTACAGCTTACTTAAGGACTCTCTCTTTTTTTTAAAGGGGCTTCTCTGGTGGCTCAGACAGTAAAGAAACTGCCTGCAAATGTGGAAGAGCAGAGTTTGGTCCCTGGTTTGGGAAGATTCCCTGGAGAAGGAAATGGCACTCCCCTCCAGTATTCTTGTCTGGGGAATTCCAAGGACGGAGGAGCCTGGTGGGCCACAGTCCATGGGGTCACAAAGAGTCAGACATGACTGAGTGACTAACACTACTAGGAACTATAGACTATTGTTTAGACATTGTATGCAGATCATAGTTAAAGCCACTGTTATTCCAATAATGTCTTACATTTTTATTTCCATTTATTTGGGGAAGGGGTACAGAATAGGCATAGCTTGCAGGTGGTTTTGCTGCACCAAAAAATACTAGGTAGCAAAACCAAGCCAACTATTTGGTTACCATCAAAAACAAGCTGATCAAGTTTGCTTAAGAGGAGAAAGAGAAAAAGACAGGGAGAAGTGAGGGAGGGAAGGAAAGAAAAAAAGAGGAAGAAAGAATACTGACAGAATAGCAGGCAAATTAGACAGGAGAGGGACCTATGGCTGCTGAAGGGAAGTTCCAGAAAAGTGTCAAGTTAAACTGAAAAGTAGCAAAAAAACTTTCCCAAGGCATACTTGGGGATGGGAAATGTTAGTGTAGTGAATTAACAGACACAGAAGGAAGTCAGGGAAATCAGAGGGATCTTTGTACAATTTAGTCTTAGTCTAAGATTAATCTCTAGCTGGATATTAATGTGTACAGCAAATGGGAGGAGATGAAATGGGAGCAATCGTTTACATTCAAATGGTACATTTATTTGACTGGACTATCAACAAGAAATGGGACCGACCTCAAGAGAGAGGTCCCTCCAGCTATCTATCCTTGGGGAAGAGGAGTATGCACAAACAGGAAATGGGAAGAGACAGAGATGCAGGAAGCTGGAGAATGAAAGGTAAGAGGCCTGAGGCAAAAAGAACAGAAACTTAAACAAAACTACCTTTGGAACAACAGATCTTCATTGGATTAAACAAACCAAAAAACCTTGCCAATTTCTGTTTATATCCTCCCATATTTGTTAGATCTTTGTATTTATTATTTCCAGCTTTTGAATCTTAAGTCTCTTATAAAAGCATAATTTTTGTGTAACTTTGCCTGCAGTTCCCACAAAGATAATTTTTAATAGAATTTAACATAATCCCTGTTTATCACTAATAACTTAATTTCATTTTACATATGCTATCTTTTAAAATGCTATTTATTTATTTATTTATTTTTTCACTAGAGAGGGCTACCGTGCCCTCCTCCAGGGGATCTTCCCAACCCAGGGATCGAACCCAGGTCTTCTGCATTGCTGGCAGATTCTTTACCAGCTGAGCCACAAGGGAAGACCAAGAATACTAGAGTGGATAACCTATCCCTTCTCCAGCAGATCTTTCTGGCCCAGGAATCGAACCAGGGTTTCCTCCATTACAGGTGGATTCTTTACCAACTGAGCTATGAGGGAAGCCCTAAAATGCTATTTATTTTTAAAAAAATAAAATGCTATTTATTATTTCCTTGCTACCTTCATTTTTTTAAAAAAACTGTCAGTTGTTATTTTGGTCACATTTTCTTTTGCTTATTTTCCTCTTTCAGGGATTTATATAGAGATCTGTCAAGTATTTGCAAACTGAGTCCAGCAGGATATTGTTCTAGGCATGCAAGAAGGGTTCAAGAACAATATTATCTATTTATGTAATTCATCAAACTGATGGGTTAAAAGAAATTTTTCATGTAGAAAAGCTTCAATATATGGCAAAAGGGTGTTTGATAATATTAAAAATTCGTTTCCTGAGATTCGTTAATAGAGAGAATGATGTGTCTGTATGCTTAAGGTCATTCATCAGAGTCAACAGCAAACATCACATTTAATAGTGAAACAGAAGAGGCATTCTCATTGAAGTCTGAAATATATATATACATATACACACATCCTGTCACATTTTTCTGGAATTTTTAGCCATATCAGTATGGAAATAAAGATCAATCAATTTAAGACTAGTAGAACTTATATGGAAAGTCAGTAAGGTGGCTAGACAAAGAAGATAAATATGAAAAGGTAATTAGATGTGAGTAATATGCCATTTAAAAAAACACACAAATGAGAAAAAAAATCCTAATCACAGCAGTAATAAAATAATTAAATATTGAGAAATAAACCTAAATAATGTGAGGGATCTACATTAATGGGAATTTGGCATATGATAAAGATGCCATTTCAAGTATGTGCTGAGGAGGTAGGGCACAGGTAATGTTTAAGGCAGTGGAATTGTTTTGCTTGATACTCTTAACAATGGATGTATGTCATTATACATCTGTCAAAACCACGGAGTATGCAAAGAATGAACTCTAAGATACACTATGGTTAATAATGTAACAAGGCCTCATCCATTTTAACAAATGCCTCACACTTAGACAAGATGTTAGTAAGAGGGGAAACTGGGGCAGGGGGACCAAAGGGGGTAAATGCAAACTACTTCCCGCTCAATTTTTCTGTTCAAACTGCTCTTAAAAAAATTAAGTTTAATTTAAAAAAGGTGGTGAGAGATTTGAGAACTGGGACAAAATGGTACTGGAGTGGCTGATACCGATTTACGAGAAAAGAAACAACAGTTTTCTCTCTCATAAAGTGCTCTCTCTTCCTCTGGTGAAGCTAAGTACTGGGAAGAAGCCTCAGTCCTTTTCTCCATCCGTCGCTGGTGGAAGAGTGACTGCAGGATGAGCAAGAGCGTGGCAGAGGCCACTGCCCACGCGGAGCCCGATTTTCCAGCTCACTCCTCCAGAATCTGCTCCCAAAGCAGAGCTGAGTTCACTGGGACAGGCTTGCCTCTATCTACGGCAGGAGAGGACTGTTTCCATCCCCCAGCTGCTCTGCCTCAGACCAGGTGGGAAAGCTTTTAGTTAGGGGGAGAAGAGGAGGAAGCCCATTTTATGCTCCAGTCAAGGCCATGCTCACTGGTCTGTCGTCACCATTATCTGTCTCCTGTGTCTATTTCTGAAATATTTAGAACCAGAAGAGGGTCCCTCAAACCAGTATGGATAGACACTCAAACCAAGCCAAACAGCAACTCTGGGGCTGCTTTAGGGTTTGCAAGTATTAGGCACTTTTGTGGGGAAAGTCCTTTGGTTTGAAGAGACTCCCCTCAAAACTCCCCTAAAGGCAAGCATTTTAGACACATGTTTGTGGAATGACCTTTTGCTCTCTTTAAGTATTTGCCAGACAGGACTGCAAAAAGGCACTTTAGGTTCCTGTAAGTTCCACAACATTGCATGAGGTTCTAGCTTTCAGCAGTATGTGTTGGTGTTAGGAGAAGGCATGCAAGCAGCAGTCCCAAATTCTATTCTTCACTGTATCCCAAGGAGAGGACTGAGGAATGACTGACCTTTGGATTTATGTGGCTTGTCAACAAGGTTCTGCAATCAGTCCCTCCCAACGTGAATTCAAGCTGACCCTGGGTACAGATCCCTGGATAGACTGTAGATTCAACTATAGTTGGGTGGTGGATTTAAATCACTGAAAGGATAGATGAAAACAGAACCCTTATTACACAAGAGTAAATCATCATTTTGGATTGAGATTTACAAGAAAAGCCTCAGGGAAGCCCAGAAAAGCCTCAACAAAGCAATAATAAATGCAAAGGTTAAGAAAA